ATGTGAATAAGAAGCATCTCCAACTGAGTGCAAACACAATGAAAGGTCTGGGAAGAACATAGTCCAGCCAAGAGTCACTCTGCCACAAGATTCATAGCTCCTGGCACATGACAGGCAACAAGAAGAAACCAAGATGAATGAGTCCAGAAGAGTAAGTCTAATGTCCAAAAACAAAGGGAGGTGGATTGGGTGTCCCTTTGACAGCTAATGTAAGAAACGACTGTGAAAATGTTGGAATGGATCATGACTGATTGATCCACCAGAAGGGGCAGGAAATGGAAACAGCAAAGAGTTTGATCATGTTGATGTGGATAGAATGCTTGTTTTGTGTCCAAATGCCAGAAGTCATGTCATCATCTGGAGATGAACCTCAACCTGAGAGGGAAGCATCAGTGAAGAGATGGAGATCCAGTTTTGGGGAGGAAGGAAACACTGGAAATAGTGTTGGCACAGTCCAGCCACCATGAAAGGAAAGGAGAGGTTTACAATGGAGCTTGAGAAAGTTTCTAATGGTTCTGTAACATACACTGGAGGAGGTACATTTGTGCATGCTCCAAAGAAGTGAGAGATTCCAGGGAAGCCATAGTCTCCAAAAGCAAAAGAATCCCTCATCCAGGATGAGAATTAGAAGTGCAAATCTTGATGACCAGATACTCCACAGCACACAGGTGAAGAGGAGAAGGCTGAGCTTGGCTGAGACTAGAGATAAAGAAAATGCCCAGATGTACCAAATACTGAGTAAGTGTGGATATCCTGACCAGTCACCCCAACTGAATAACCTCCTGCAAAAGAATGGAGGTGTAAAAAAAGGTTAACTCTCTATAATAGACCCTTAGAAGCCAAAATGCAAGGAAAAGGAATGACAGCCCCAGGCTGTGAAGATGGAAAAGAAAGATTCTCATGACACAAAAGAGGCCAATGTTATGTTGAAGGCATGAGCAAGAAATTAAAGACATGAATCTGATGGACAGAATGTAGAAAAAGTCTGGAGGACAAGGCAATATAGATGTATATGAAGGTGTCCAACACATCAACCAAGGCCAACCATATGTCTTATGAAAAGGACCAAAGATGTGTTCATAAGGAGGAAAACGGAAATGAGAAGATGAGCAAAGAAAAGTGAGAGAGAACATGAAAAATGTCTGTTGGCAGAAACAGAGACCAATGGCTGGTGAGGGGGAAGAGATGGACACCCACAGGGTGTGATGTAACAAGATAGCCACTGACAAGGAGAGCAATGAACCAGATGTTGGGAAGTGGGAGAATGAGAAAAAGAGGGAGGCCTAAAACCTGGAAAGGGAAGGTTAGGGGTAGACTAATCCAAATGAGAAACAGAAGCCAAAGGGAAATGCTGAGATAGAAGAAAAATGTAGAAAGATAACAAGAACTTCAGTCTAAGTCTCCAGTGAGAAATGAACACTATCAAAAACTCCCAGACAAAGAAAATATGCCTGATGAAGACCATGTACACAAGGAGAAAAGTGTACAGTAAAGAGGAATGCAACTCGACCCAATAAGTCCCAACAGCAGGAGAACTAGGTAAAGAGGGACACAGAAGAAAAGAAACACACTAAGCTGGCAAAGAGAAGGGAACAAACCTCTTTAAAAAAATCCCTCTGGAGCATGATGAAGTGCCTCAGACAAAAGGTAGAGGGAGGAGAGGGAATATAGGAGGGTGGTGAGAAAGAAGACAAAGATTGAAAAATGAGGAACCAGAGAGTGAAATAGAAGGTAAGGGGCCCGATCCCCAAGCAGACCAAATAGATAACAATGAAAGGAACTTTATAAAGGAAAAGTAGAATGTCTGCAGGTCAGGACAAAGAAATCATGAACTATAGGTAGATAAGGCATGTGGGTGTGAGTGAGAAGTTGTTAGAAAACGAAAACAGCATAAACCCTGATAATAAGCAATATTAAAGAACACAGCCAAAAGATAAGGAAAGGAAGATACCTAAGAATGATATCCAGAAACAGATTGGAAGGTTAAGGTTATTCCTCAAATAGTATGGCACTACTCAATTCAAATCAGGTTCAATTCTTAGTCCAATAGGCCAGTCACGACTGTGGATAAATAACATTGGATGAGAATAGGAGACTCAGTAAGCATGTGGTAATCCACAACATGTTGAACAAAGGTTGTTATATTCCCAATAGTTAACAAGCCTACAGAAGTCATAGTAGAAATAGGGCATGTTTGTGTAGCATTGTCATTCCAACAGGACTAGTAGAATTCAAGATAAAAATCAACACTTTTGAAATAAAAGTCAATGTATAAATGAAAAACCAAAGTTTCACTAACAAACACAAATCTTATGAAATTGAACTTAGACGAGAAATTTGAACAAGTATGTTCAATTTCATATTGAGAAAAAGAATAAAGTCATCATGAGTGCAAGTGTAGAGGGAGAGTTACTATGCATGGGGGGTTATATAACCCTACTACTGGTAGAGGGCTGTTGTCACATGATGACATCATCATGTACCAGCACAGTTCATGTTAAACTCATAAATGTATGTGAAAGTTATCTCAAGACAAGTGGCATGCAAACTCACAGGTAGATGCATGAGGGAAATAGCATTTCTATATGTGGAGGTGAGTTATTGTCTTAGAATTATCTGCAACAGCAGCAGAACTCGACCAGGAAAAATTACGACACCTCACGATTAAAAGTATGTGAACTGAGTGTAGGTTTTGTGTGAAAGCAAACATGCTGGATAGACTTTTGGTAAATCAAACAGAAATCTTTATTCACATAAGAAACTTAAAATGCATACCCTCATGTAATGATACAGTTCCTACTCCAAGTTAAGCAATGTATAGTCTTGACATATTCGGATATATCAGAAGGCAATCACCTCAAAACTAAATGCTGAATGGATTCTAGAAGGTCCCCTCTTTGTAAAAAGTAGGAACAAACTCATACAAAGAATGCTTCTGGATTTTTTTTCTTTACCTAATGGACAGCATCACCTTGTGACCTCTATTCTCTTATAGCATTGGTCAGCTATCTAATCTGATTGACATAAAAGTCCAACTAGCAAAGGATGTTTCAGTTTTAACTATTTTTTAATTCAGGCTCAAAATATACTGAAATATCCCTACGAGAAGAAGATTTCATCTACCAAAAGAACAAAAGGTTGAGGTGACTAGAATAAGATAATGTATTGCTGTCATGACAGTGTGAAATTTAAGTAATCAATATTTAAAAAAAAATTTATACCACTACAAACGGTATGCAAGCATATCACATTCGAAAAGTGGGGGAGCTACAGCACCCTCATTGTCCATGGTTTCTGAAGTACTGTCTACAAAACATTTTCAAATATCTTACAAAGTAACACTCCTAATTTTCATTGTGTCTCTGTTACCCCAAATGTGAATATTGCATGCTAAATTCTTTCACTTTTGAAAGGACAAAATTGGTTTTGGCAGATATTTGTTTGTGTTAGCCAGCAGCACCCACTGACAACTCTTTGGCTATTCAAATTGAATAATGGGATTTGAGTCTTATAATGCACCCACAGCCTCAAACTGTGAAGTGTTATTTTGCAGCAATGGGAGATGAATTATAAACCCTCAGTCACAATCTGGCATGCTAACCACTAGGTTATGCTCAGCCATATTAGGATTTATTTTGATGTTCGAGTCTATTTCTGAAAAGTCAATAAAATATAAAATGACAAAAATTTTATTTCAGATTCTGTACATGTGCAATCTGTGACTGTATTGAAGGGAATGTTAGCACTGTCCAAATAACAATTAGAGCAGGGTTTCTCAACCTTTTGCAAAGCCCACTTAGTTATTTGGCACAATAGTAAAAGTCCACATGTGCAGTTGATGACTTATTAGTAAAGGGCAATCACAGCTGTCCTTGTTTACAGAAGGCCCATAACTATATCTGATGGCCCACCAATTGAGAATCACTGAATTTGAGCACACAAGTTATACAATTTTCTGAAATGTGACTTGATTAGCCAATTGTACTATAATGCATGTAGTGTGTATTTCAGTATATATGTTTGTAACCAAAACTCCTTCGCCATCTGTTGAATGGCACCACAAACAAAAATCCATAAAACATTTTACACTTTGGGTATTCAAGATTCAGACAATTTGAAAAATAGCTGTGGTATGTGCAATAACCATTTCTTTATCACAGAATACAATTTTAAATAAAATTACTCTCCAACAAGAACATGACTTTCACTAAGACTGTATCATATGTGAGGGTTTGGCTATATCTTTATTGATGTAATTTTTAAATGTAGTACTGACTAACTGGAGTTTTTAAAAAAAAACAACTACAGTTTTGTTAATAAAGAGTACTACTTTTAATATAAAAACATTACAATTTATATCAGTAAAATTTATGAAAATTTTGAGCTCTGTACAATGAATTATATTGATGGAATGAGTTGCTTATCACTAAATACCACAATCTCGTGCAGTACTTCCCAGAAAAAAATCCTTTTTTAGAAAATGTTTCTAAACTTTTCTAAATTTTTTCAATGATGTACGAGTACTATGATTAATAATTAGTAGCACAAACAACCAGACTTAGGGTGCTGTTTCTGCTAGTAATAATAAATTAAACATTCTGTAAACAATATTACTAAATTAAACATTCTGTAAACAATATTACTAAATTAAAACATTCTGTTAAGAGTTTGCAATAAATTTTAGCGGATGAGCAGTGAAATTCAAATTTTGTTCAAGTTAAAAGAAAAAAAATTAAAAGGAGATCATTCTGATATCAAAAATGAAAAAGACTTTCTAGGAGTAAAAGGGAAATAAAAATGGCTGTAAATCTGTAATATCTATAAAAAGTTTTATTTTAATATTTTTAGCTCATTTGATTCTATGAAAAATTATTTCTTAATATCAATGTTTAACATTGCAAAAATTTATACACTAAAAAGAAATTAGAACTATTTGTAATATAATTAAACCTTACAAGAACAGGTTTGCTTAGAGAGAGAGAGAGAGAAAAAGAACTTACTCGCTGTCCGGGAAAAGCAACTTCAGGGTTTATTGTAATTCCTATGCGTGCTAAAGCTTGGGCAGCAAATATTTTACCTTTATCTGTTCCTTCAAGTGCCAAGTTCAACAATATCTACAGATATTCAAATAGAAAATTGTTCCAGTCACTGTATAAGAATATTTTCATTTTATAATTTAAAATACTTTTTATGCAACAGAAAGTTTTCACATTTCACATGCAAAATCTTTATAATGTTGAGATAGTTATCAAATGTTTATTAAGAAAAAACTATATTTTATCTGTACTTTTCAGTAATTAATCTCTGTATG